ACATGATTTCATTGCCTTTTTATAGTGATGTGTGTTCTAAATTTTCTACAGTAAGTTATTCTAACTTGTAATAATAATAGGATATTTTGTTTACTATTGCAATTTTAAGGAATGCATAAGAAACTACTGCACTGCAGTCCTCCTTCCACAGTTAATGCAGACTCTGTGTCATTAATCTTGTACAAGAAACTTCCCATGGAGAGCCCACATAACACAATGAGTAAGAGAACTGGCTCTGGAGGTAGGCTCCCTGGGTTCAAACCTTAGCTGTGCTGTTCCACTACTGGGTGAACATTGGCACGCCACTAACCCTCTCTCTTTACATTAGTGCTTCCACTGATAGAAATGGGATCGTGTAATGCCCATCACATAAGATGGTTGTAAGAAGCATTTAGTAAATGCCCAGAACATAGTGAGTGTTCAGGAAACAGTTATTTACATTGGATTTATTTATTAAGCTATTTAACTTCTGGTTTTTTTATACCTTACTGTCGTTTATTTTCAGGGTAGTAACAACAGATTTTTTTTTTATCAACCACCCCCCCCCTTTCCTTTTACTATAGCAAATGCATTACCCTTTTTACATTTTGTGTTTCATTTAACTCATTGTATTCCTGGCACAATTGCTAGGTGAGATAGTTAACTCCATTAGACACAGACTAATCTCTTAGTCCCTTGGCAAGTTTAGAATTTCAGGACGTAGTTAGATCATGTGACAGTATCAGTTATGTACCCAACCCTCTGCTAAGCCATGAAGAAATCCTAAGAAGGATGATAAATCCTTCTTTCAGTCACCCAGTGTTTATTGAACATCTGCTGTGTGCCATGGACCAGGAATACAGAAATGAAAAAAGCAGGGTCCCTGCCCTCAAAGAGTTCACCCTAGATAGCCAAGAATTACATGCATGAAATAAATGCACCATTTGAAACAAACACAAGAAAATGTGTGTTGGGAGCAGCCAGGGTATAGGGTAAGCTAGACATAACAAGGTTCCCTTAGAGAGGACCTGAATTGTACTGAAGTAGCCACTTTTTTAGGAAGACCAAGATAAGCAGGGTTCCAGGCAGAGGCAGTAATATGAAGGCTTATAAGTAAAAAAAAAAAAAAAAAAA